TCCCGGGGGGAGTCCTGTCTCATGTGCCCATCACTAGGCGTTTTGTGGCCGCTGCTGTTTCTGTAGCTGCTACTTCACGTGAACGACTTAAAACGCACTTGGCATTGCACAACTTCAGGGAAAACCTGCAGTTTGTGCTGAAAGAACAGCTACAGAAACACACAGCCCGAATGCGAACACAGAGATGCTGCCCCAACACCCCCACCTGCGCGTGGCACATCCACAGCCCCTAACCCTGCAGCAGGGCAGGGCGCCGACCTGCACATCCATCCCCAGCCCCATCGCTCTGCCCCAGCCCCCCTGGACCCCTTCCCACAGCCGCCGTGCAGATGGTGGTGCTTCCGCCTTTGGTGGCAGGAACCGCGGCATTAAGAGCTTTAGATCTCGGAGTCAGAGCCTGCAGTCTGTCAGGGTGACTCTGCCTTAAAAGCTAGGACGGCAGTAAAGATGAAAAATGGTTTTGCCATTTTCTCCCCAGCTGCCCTCGAGCTATTTATCGCCAGCAGGACGCAGAGCGCCTGCTCCCAGTACACTGCTCCCGCTCCTGCCCCGGCGCATCCGCCAGCCACCGGATGAGGGCTGCCTCCAAAGTGACGGCTTCGTACGAGATCGGGCAGCCTCAGGCTGGGGAAGAAACATCCCTTGGGCACAGTGGAGAGGCAGCAGGGATTAAAGAAACCTCATGAAATCCCTGCCTGTAGCTCAGTTGGGGCAGGCTCTTCCCCATTTTAAGCCAGCCAGAAAACCTGTCAAACAGCCCCGGTCTTTAGGACACCCAGTAACGCAGACTCTGCATGAGGACCTGAAATAACAACAGGGTACAGGTGACAAATGCTGAACTGGAAGCGCCTGAGCAGTCAAAACCAGGAGGGTTTTAATAGAAATTAGTACCTTTTCTGGGATTTGCAAATAAACAAACCCAAAGTGATCTAATTTTTCAGACCAGTTACCAAAACTGGGTGATTTATTTCTATGTGTCCATTTCCATGGGCTTTTGCCAGACATCCCGATCAAAACACTCACTGCTGCTTCATAAGAAATTCCAGCTCAAAGAGTTATGTTTAAAGAACTTTGCTACCAGCTGACAGGAAAGTTGAATCCCAGTCCCTCATATTAACAAAGGTATTATAAGCTTTTTCCTAATGTCATAAGTATAAAACAACAGCAGAAATGGCTAAAGCCAAAGCACCAGTCGTGGATCGTGTTCAGCACTTCACAGGTATTTGGCACTAGTGTAAATCCACAGCTGGTAAAGGAAAGTGAGTAAATGAGGTCTTTTATTTTAGACACAGCTGAGGGCTACCAGGGCACCTGTAAAATGGACTTCTCACCTCAGCAGTCTCACCCTCTCTTACCTAAAGTACTAGATCCATTCCTCAAGCCAGGGGAAACAGGCCAGTTTTGGCCTTCGTTACAAAACGAGCTCTCAGAGAGGCTTTGTTGAGGTTTCCCGACTCAGTTCCTGCAAGTTGTGCTACAACAGCAACACGCCGGGCTAACCACAACCCCAGGGAGGGCTCTGTGAGAGAGGAGGAACAGCTGGGACTCTCCTGGAAGACCTTCCATCCTGGAGGAATGGGTTGGGACTCCTCGGGAGAGGAGGGTGGCAGAGGAAAGAGGAGGATCTGTGACTGGTCGTGTATGTCACATCCCATTTGATAAGTGATGTCAAGAGAAGGAGGAGAATTCAGAAAGCGGGGAACGGAACAAAAATCCAATGGGTTGGAAGCCTACATGAAGGTGGGGGAAAAATATGCGGTACGTCAGTATCTTAGGTCCTTCCCTTCTGCTGGTACCCTGATGGCAGCTGCCCTGGAGCCTGCTCTCCCCACCACCCTCAGCTACAGGCGGAACCACGCACATCGAGTTGGAACTCGCTGCCATTCAGAAGGTTTATGAAAAATATTTTACTTTGGTCCTCCTGAAATTACATCATTCTCCTCTTTTATCTGTCTTAAGTGTCAGGAGAGTGTGATGTTATAATGAGATGTACAAAGGCTTTTTGGATAGCTGAACACTTTTATAGTCCCACATTGATAAATTAAAGCATTTGTCACTGTTACCACATTAATGTTTCTTCCTGGGATCAAAGTCTGGATTTGCTGCATCAAATAGCACCGTCCTCTGCTACGCGTTACCACGCATTACCTTCCGAGGAAATTAATTGTGATTCCATATTTTTACATTCTCAGTCTAATCTCGCCCTGATTCTTGCACCCGCTGATTGCCATCTCCACATGCAGTACACAAGTCATTTTTTAGTAAGGATTTTCTCCTCGCTACCTGTGTGAAAAGCCTGAATATCTTGTTTCAGGACAATCACCTTTTTCTGGCTCTGGAGGCTGCTTCTGCAGTGAAGAATACAGACAATTTCCTTCCTCCTCAGACCCTGGCTTCAGTCGTGTTAATTTACATTTATATAGCACCTTTCATCCCTGCAGATCCCGATGCACTTTACAAACTCGCCCTCTCCGTACACAGAAGCTGTACAAACACAGGCGGCTACGCAAACAGACACAGCAATCCCATCACCGGCTGCTGAAAGGCGTATTCCCGGCACGCTCGTGGCGCGGCGGCTCTGCACACCCTACACCACGTTGCCAGCGAGGAGGCCAACACGGCGGTGTGATCAGAGGCGTGGGGAAGCACGAGGGATCCAGGAAAGCAACAGAAGGGCTTCACAGCCCGGGCGGCTGACATCTCCTTGGCACGCTGCCGCAGAGGCTAAAGCGAGGTAAAGTGTGACTTGTGGTGAGTTACACCTTGTGTCTGCTGCGCTCACAGTGCCTGCAGAAGACCAGGCTTGTGGCTCCTTTCCACTGATGGGTGACCCTCAAGCAGTTTGTTTCATAAAACTGAAAAATACCTGCTTGCCTTGTAATAAAAACCTACAGGGAAGTAAACCCCATTCTCCCCAACAGCAGTAGTTGACCAGCTCCTGCCAATCTGAGGAGGGAGGAGAAGGATGAACCCCAACATACCTGAGACACCTTTTTGACCACATCGCTGCCCACAAGGAAGCCCTGTGCGTAGGAACGTGCTGCAATGAAGGCTCGAGTTGCCTTCACCTTCAGGTCCCTGGGAACTTCCCCGAAGGGTTTGTGCTGCTCCGCATGTTTGACCATGCAGTCCAGGTACTCATCTGTGATATGGTACTGGGGATTCATCAGCTTGAAGAGCCGTTCCAGCAAGCGTGTCCAGAACTCATTGAGAGCCTCTTCCAAGTTGATGTTGGAGCCCCGGTAATAGCGGCGTAGCTCGCTGTACAAGTCCTTGAAGACCTTCATGTTTTGGGTGTACAATTCTCCGTACATGCTTGGAAAAGCATCATAAAGGGCCTTTTCTGACTTGTTCAACAAATCCTGGAAATAACCTGAAGAGAGAAGAAAAAGGAGATGGTGAAGCGTCAGTTAGAAAAGCAGGAATCCAACGGGCTGTGCTGTTTGGCAGCAGCCTGGAGAAAAGAGAAAGGCCCTAACAGAGATTTTTCTACAACCAACCTTACCCATACTCTCAGTCTCGAGCCTTAGCTGAGAAAATTGATGGAGGAACCCTCCTGCTGCCAGTGGTCTGGGCCTCTACCTCTTCTGGCAGCCTCACCTGGAACCAAAATTGAGGCTCTTGTCAGAGCGTTTCCCCAAGGACTCCTTGCATTGCTCCAGCAGTAAAAGGCCACAGTGCCACTTGCAGAACCCACTTCCCCCAGTCAGTCTCTAGCCAGGCATCATGTCAGCCGGGGCTCACAAGCAACATAGGAGTCATTAATCCAACAAATTCCTTAAACAACTGAAGAGAAGTGGTAAGGTGCCATAGTTATTACTCATAGGGTTTCTTTATGGAATAGACCAACTGGCATTGCTTATGTAGAGCATAACTTGCCATACTTGTCAGCTATCGCCTTAGGAGACACTCAGCCCCAAATCAAGAACCAGTCGGTCCTGGCAGAGAAGTTGACACTTGTTAAAACATCATTAGAGAATGTTGCAAACACACAAGGATGCCTGGATGCTGTTCATGCCGTGGAAGTCGATCTGATAATGTCTGCTCCTACAGCCAGTCTAGCATATCAGTATTATTCACACCAGAATGAATTAAGATAAAGATTTCATCTACCAGATAACCCAAAGTCACCCACTTCATAGCATGAAAGGTTCCTCCAGCATCCTCTGCTCTTACCATCACACATGGAAAGTGAGAGCTCTTCTGGAGAAGACTGCAACTTCTTCAATTTTAAAACAGAACTTCTCCTTAAAAAAAATAAATTCATTTTCCTTGGAAGGCAGCCATTCCTGGCTGAGGCACTGATAATTTGAGGAAGCCAGCAGGACTTCTGTAAGACATACATGCCTTAGGCACAACACACAGCAGTCTAAAACAAGGTCCCCGCAGGGACAAGCTCTCCATTGGGGCAGCACATTTACTTGAAGAGGATGTGGCTTTACCCTGACTATCCGTCACCCCCATCGACCCAAAAGCACCATGGATCCACTGCACAACTTGAAACTGCCTTCGGAGAAATCAGCGCAACTGGTTGGAGCCACCTTTCTTTCCTGCCTCACTGCATATTTTCCGATGCGTTATTTCCCAAGCCCTGGTGAGATGGAGCAGGGCTGCCACCAGCGCCAGCCCTTCACAGGGACAGCCCCATCAGCCTGGTCACCGCGGCCACCCAGCCTCTACGTCACAGCCTATGAAGCATGTGGCCGAGTCCCAAGCTCCGTGACAGGAGCAGGCACGTCTTATTGTGTATTTAGGGACAGGGTCGTGCTCCAGTGTTTGTCAATGGATGCCAACATTATCACGTTTGAGGCTCTCATCCTATTCACTAATTTGCTTATTTGGATTCGCATCCTGCTTTTGTTTAGGTGTAAACAATTAAAAGGTTTTACACCCTAGGTTCAGTGGTTGTAGAAGTGACAGAAACGTGACTCTTGCTACATACAGGAGGGTGAAGATGACAGATTAGACTCTCCCCTTACCAACACCTGTAGGTGTTTCCATCCTCTCGACCGCCAGCTACCTTCAGGCTCTCTGAGGCTGCACAGTGGGAAACTCATAGCAGGACCCACCTGATTCAATTTACTGATTTACATAAACAACTTTAAACATCATTTAAGTCAGTGAAAGGAAAAATTATTTAAATAATAATTTTCATTTCAATTACATTTGTACTTTTTAGGGCCTTCTTGAAGCAAACCTGATTATGCCAGTCTTTAAATCTAAATTATTATTATTTTTTTTTTGGTGATGTATGATAAGCTCTAGTTGGAGGGAAACCGTTATTCAATCAAAATCAAACAGCAGGCATTTAGGTATATAAATTAACTTCACTGTGCTAGGCATATAAGAAGAGAAAGAAAGGCTTCTGAAAATGCATATTGCATGAACAAAGCTTTAGAGAAGTAATTTTTCAAGGGAACAGCACCAACTACAATTAAACACCTCTACAATTTTAGAACTAGCAAAGCTCATTTCCATGGGTCTTGTTTTCATTCACAGACTAGAAGGGCCACACAAGCTTTTCTACATCCATAATTAGTTTCTCAGGTTTGAACGAAGCTAAAATTCAACAAGCGGATCGAACGAGTGAAAACTCCCTCTGCACCCGCACCACAGGCTGCTAATACCGAAACTTCTTGTAGTGCTTTAACGAACCAGTACTGAGCATTAACAGCTTGGCTTCCTCCAGCCACAATCATGTACTGCCTAATAGTTTCAAATTTGATTTATGTGCTTTTAAAAGATCGTGAGCAACCTAGGTCTTAGCAGAAGTTTGGTTTAATCACTACGGCATAAAATAAAAATGTGTTGATCTAAAATGTTCAATTAAAACCTCTGATTTTCAAATGTACCTTCGGAAGAAATTTATTCTTATTTGACCTGACCTGGTTGGTGGTTTGTATCTCCAAACACTTGTACTGAGGTCCTTCCGTCTCTCAAATGACTGACCTGCATGTGTTTGTTCATTTTCCCTATTGGAACCGGATTTCTCCCTACAGACAGCAGCATAAGCATGCTGCCAGAGGGCTGCCAGGGTGCCTAAGCCACCTATAAAATTACCTTGTAATGGAGGGGTCCCAACATGAAAAAAGTCACGAGCTGATCCCATCAACAAGTACCTTGCTAAAGGACCTCAGTTGAATAAGAAGAGATGCCTGCAGCACCTGCTGTCCTAACACAGCTTATCAAAGCCTCTCCTGTGGCATCTCCAGACAATGGGCAATTCGACCCCTGCCCTGTCCCCGGGTCCCAGCTCCTACTGCCCTGCCCCAGCTGCAGAGACGAGCTCTCTCCCAAGGTGGGACAAGCTTTCTGCAAAGCCTGGGGCCCCTCATCCCAGCCCAAGGGACTGCTCTCGAGTGGGGAGAGCTCCCGACCCGCCTGGTCAGGCGCTGCGGAGAGCTGACTCGGGGCTGATCCTGCTGCAGCCTCACCACTCCTTGTTGCATGGTCACCTTCCCCTGCAGCATCTCCTGAAGGGGATTACAAGCCAAGCACATTTGTCCTGGCAGGACGCTTTTTTTGGGTCTGACTACTCTGAGGTGGCTTCATCTTTCTGTTGCCACAGCCTTTTGACCTGTACAACCAACAGAAATGGCATTCATTTCCAACACACACAAAACACAAAGGATCTCTGATGCTGATGCGATATCTAAAAGCTGCTCCGCATCTTAATGTATCCCTCCAAGCGCTGCTGGTTGCCCATTCACCATTTAATTAAACTGAGCTCAATTTTTTTTTCTTTCTTGTACAATCAGTGTTCTTCTCTCTGTGACCAGCCACACGAACTGAATGAATTGCTCAGCAATCCAGGTACGACATGCAGCTTGGCACTCACCATCAGGAGGAAGAAAACACCAACAAACGCAGCCCGATTTGTCAACTCCAGGTAAAATGAGTTCTTTGTATCGCTACAGGAGAAACAAGATGTATATCTTTCTGTCAAAAGCTTGGAAACTGCTCTCAAAAAAGTCCAAGCTAATTAAGAGCTGATGAACTGTTACTTCTCACCTAAGTGGGAGAACGCCAATCACAGTCAACTCGTTTGTGGCTGGTTCTCAGAAAGTTCTTCTGGATTTCACACACTGAGGAAAAAAATAAGTATCTACATTATCTAGGGAAAATTAATTAGCAATTAAGCCTCAATGTGTTTGTGATGGATAGCCGACCTGGCAGAGAATTTAAATGTACATTTTGCAGTACTAGAAGGCACTACGAAGTGGGGTTTGTCGAGAGGGAGGCACAGAAGCTTGTGCCAACTGCCCTGGTCCTCACGATCTCAGCCTGCACTGCTTGTACAGTTAGCACAGGTATCTCCAATTAACACTGCGTCTTCTCCTTGACACTCCCTGCCTGTTAATAGCCAACCTCTCAATGTATTTAGACATGTGTCATAGACTGAGGATATGCAGGGCCTCGGGATAAAACTGCTTGCTGAACCACAGTTCAGGCATGTGTCCTTGATTTCAGGCAGAAGCAATTCTTTATTCTAGGGGAAGCACCCCATTATCTGTAGCCATCGTGGATGGGGGACCCTTAGGTAACCTGGATGGTTGGAAACCTCTAATAATACAGCTGTCTCACTATTTCTATATGAAGTTAAAAATAACCACCCAGTGGGTCCATTTGGATTTATTAACTCTCACTTGGTCCACCACCGCTGGGTCTGCCTTGTCTCCCGAAGGACAATTAGAGTGATTAGCTCAGGCAGGGCATCAGCACACGGAGGCAGCTTCATCCAGGTCACGTCCTGGACACATCCCCAAGGTCCCTGAGCTCTGCTGACACCACGTTCTCTGGGCCAGCAGCAACAGGCTCAACCTATGTCTGTGTTCACGCACCGTAGCACGTGGCTATGTTAGCCTTGGGAATGACAGAGATGGAGGGAAAGGGCTCACAAGGAGCCAACCCTGGAGCTATAAAGCCATTCTCTCCCCAGGAGCCATGGCTGCCCTCCCATCCCTGGGAGCAGGTACAGGCACAGCTGAGGTGGCTCTGCAGAGGGGCTGGGTGCCCTCCGAAATGAGCCATTTGGTTCCATTTGAGTCACAAGGCAGCAGTTACGTATTTTCTGGATCCATGCTGAACGGACGTTCTCAGCTTCTGCCAGCCTCAGAAATTTTACTAGCGGAAGTGTACTAGCCCGAGATACCTTCCTGCAAGCCACCTGCTAAATCCATGACCAATTTTCCCCTCTCCCAAAAAGATTGCTCAACGAGCCATCGAACAGGCGAGCCCTTCCTCCCTGCAAAGCCCAACAGGCCATTTTCCAACACCAGTAATTCAGACAAATCAAACTTGATCTTCCCTAGGGCAACGAAAGGCACAGCTCCTCAGCCGAGGCTGTTCCTACATGAAACATCACCTTTGATG